TGATTATTTTAAGTGGTCATTTTGTATTCACAAAGTTCACAATGTAGCTTTATGTTGATGGTTCCATTCTATGACCTTTAGTGACAAAGCTAGAAATATATCTGCTTTTCTGATTTTACATCACATAGTTACTGTATTTGCTGTAATAAGTGCCCAGATTTTAAGAATTTTTCAACTTGGATGAATATTTAAACCTAGACTTGCAGAAACCAACGACGAAATTTACATTAAGTCCAATTCAAGTGTAGAATGATTTGCAAGTCTAGAAATTAAGCAATGTTTGGGGCTCAATTTTGATTGTATGTGTAATTTTGTATTTATAGATTTTAAAATAAAATAACTTTATATCTGGGACTTAATATTAGTCTAATTAAAATCATACACAAGTTAAATTAGTTCTGAGATTGATCGACCAGTACTGGACAAACTTGATGCTTGAGGGTTCCTTATATATTGAAGGCTCTTTTATAAATATTACTTGTCAGAAGAGGCGAGTGACGAGATCGGGTGGTCAGGCTCTGATATGGTTGATACTTATCATGCGTAGACAATGCTCATGCTGTTGATCACTGGATTGTCTGGTCCAGACTTGATTATTTGCGGACAGCTGACATATAGCTGGAAAATTGCTGAGTGTGGCTTAAAACTCAACTAACTCAATAAAGATTATCTTCATTTACATTTGTATATGTATTTATTTAATGTTGCCTCTGTATGCTAACTACTTGTAGATGTGACTTGTCTGAAGTATGAATGTTAATGGTACAAGGAATCCAGTATGTTTCAAGTAAAATAAGAAGGAAGGGAATTTGTATTTTTTCGTGTTGGGATAATAAAATCAGGCATGTTTTAGTCAGTCATCCAGGACAGGATGAAAATGTAATGATTTATTATTGCATGTATGGAATATGGGGTTGACCTACATTTCTTCACGCTTGGTTGGTCCTTGTCAAAAACATCCTTGGTCCTTCTTGAGTAACCCTCTTTTGACCCTTGACCCTTGACCCTCTCTGAAACAGCCTTCTGAGGTGGAGACTCTCCCATTGTGAGGTAGAAATGTGCTCTCTGGTCATAACAATGGCTGCCTTGGTCTGCTTTGGAACTCTCCCATTTTAAGGTAGAAATGTACTTGTGGGTCACAACAAAAGCTGCCCGGGTCTTCTGTGGAACTCTTCCATTGTGAGGTAGAAATATACTCACGGGTGAAAACAACGGCTGCCTGGTCCACGGTGAAGTTCACCTACTTTCTCTATTTAGATCAGCTCTGTACGTGCAGTAATGTGACAAATAGGAATGGAAGGAAATTTATGTCAGAGTACAATGTATCTCAATAGGTATTTCAGATAAACAACTCCCTCCTGGGTATTCCAGTTGTTTTTCTTGATTTCATGGGAAATCCTTTTGGGGTGCTTTTGTCAGTGTCGAAAGAATTAGTCTCACTGGGTTGTTTGGTCCAGACTGGAGTATTTACAGAGCACTGCCATATAGCTGGAATACTGCTGAGTGGGCCGTTAAACAACAAACTAACTAACTTTAGAAGCTGGAAGACTGACTGACTGACTTGAAACATCTATTGACAACTATTTTGTAGTTGTAACTACGGCTGGGTATTGCAGAGAATATTTCATATTGCAATATATTGCAAGAAGTTCTTTTTTAACCAATAAGTACTTATAATGGAGTTAATGCTTGATTTATAAAGCAAAAAAACACAAAATCACCATGCTTGATTAAGCTTAATAAAAACTTTTAATCATGACAAAATAAAAATGTAAATAATATTTGGCACAAATAAAAAAAGGAAAGGAATAATTTATAAAACGGAAATATCCGAAGATTTCCGAGTGTTACAAAGTCTTTTCGAATGCATGTCAAAATGCCGGTTTTCAATCAGCGTATCGCAGTACGTATCGTTTTCATGTCTGAACCGGTATATACCGGTAAACCGGTTATATTGCGCTGTTGTAACCAAGTTGAATTCCTACTTCTTGTTTCGTCATCAGTTGAACGATGTAAGGATTCAAAGTACACCTGAAAGGTCATGATCAATAACTAGTTGTCCATAACATTTTCATCTTTATGAAAAGAATTATTCTGTAATTTGATTATAATTCCTAACAAATAATGTCATACTTAGCTCTTGCAACAAGACCGCCGCCATATAGCTGGAATATTGCTAAGTGCGGCATAAAACTAAACTCACTCACTCTTGCAACAAAGCTGATGAATAAGAATGTGGTTTATTTGAACAAAATCTTGAACTAAGTCTCAAGCTGTCAGAACTCAAGTGCTCTCTTTTGCTTGTGGATTTTTGGGATAATTTTGTTAAAATATGTGCCTGGTAAAGTCAGTTCAAGTCTGAAATCGAAGTCAAGGAAAACTGTTCAAGTCAAATGAAAGTTCATACGATAACAATAAACCCTATAGCAACTGATGCACAGTTGCAAGTTCGTTCTGTGGACTCAACCCTTTCATCACATTTATGGGACATTGCTTATAATATCTACCACTGGTTTGTCTAACTTGCTTAAGGGTAGCCCAGTGGTTAAAGCGTTTGCTCATCACGCCGAAGGCCCAGGTTCGATTCCAAACATGGGTACAATGTGTGAAGCCCATTTCTGGGGTCCCCCCTGCTGAGATATGGCTGGAATATTACTAAAACCGTGTAAAACCCAACTCACTCACTAACCCTTTCTAACTTGATTAGTAACAGAATGTCAAGTTATGATTGAATGTATAATCAAGCAGCCAGTATACTTTCAGATTAACAAATCCTGATTTGGGTAGTTGTTGGTTTGCTTGTTCGAAGGAAAAACAACGTCAAGAGTTAGAACTGCTAATTAATTTGCCCACGTTTCCATGCACAGCTTATTGGCCATGTGATATGGGATTCATAATTGGAAGTAACACCCTGCTGACTTATAATTGGCTATAATACGATAGGTGGAGTAAATTTGATATCTCACCTAGATAATTTATACCCAAGGAAAATCACACTGTAATGTAAGTACAAGAATTATCACCTGGCAATATGTGTTTAATAATGCAATGATGTTTTATTGCATGATCCAGTATTCATAAATCGTGAAATTGGTTTTGTATATTTTTTTATCTTTAAAAATGGGCAGCAGATGTTATTCTCTTTTCTGATTTGGATATTAGGAAGTAGAAACGTTATAGAAACAATCATAAATAGAATATTAAAAAACAAACTCGGTTCCTCTCACTCTATATCTGCAACTTCGGTTCCTCTCACTCTATATCTGCAACTTTTTTAGCTTTAAACCTAGCTCCTCATATTGGTAAGAGCGATGTAAAATACTCACTTATGATCTATCTATCTATCTATCTATCTATCTATCTATCTATCTATCTATCTATCTATCTATCTATCTATCTATCTATCTATCTATCTCTATCTATCTATCTATCTATCTATCTATCTATCTATCTATCTATCTATCTATCTATCTATGTTTGCAACATTTTTAGCTTTGAACCGAGGCCTCTGCATCCAACCCTGCTGAAATGAAGTCAACACCTGGCTGCCAACTTCACATATTACTTCATTGTCAGTGCAATTTGGGCAGTACTTCTCCACATCCAATAAGCACCATTACATCACAGAAATACATTGTCTGTCAACAGAATATGCAGCAACACTCATCTTTTGAAAACTCATTTTGTAATCTTGGTCATGTAAATAAGACTGGTGTTTGAATTGTGTAGGAATCTGTTGAGAAATCTCGACTTAATCAGACTGAAATATCTTAAAACGATCATATTCTTCCTGAAATCGTCACTATTGTTTACAAATCTACTTGTTGTATTTGCTTTGTCCTTCCGAGGGGAAGAAAACAAATAATTTCCAGACGGAAATACTAAAAGTGGGAATACTACACAAAGTTGTCTGCCGATTTGGTTTCACTGTCAAAGTCTTAGATCAAAGACGTTTATTGGCTGAATTGACAAGTTAAAGCTAATCGTGAAATCCGCCTGCAAGCGTGAGCGTCGCGAAGCATTGAGATGATCAATTCTGGAAGCTCCCAATTAACAGTGCTGTTAGAAGCAGTTTATGGTAGTGAAAGCACGGGCGATGGACAAATTGATTTTCGGCCCGAAAATGAGATCTGGTAATTTGAAAATTATTTTGTTTCGTCGTATTGAATGGCGATAATTGAAACTGCGATTATTGAGAGGTTTTGAGTTCAAACGTGTAAATAGCATAATCAAAATTCTACACCAAGTCTTATTTTTGTTATGACCGTTCGCCTTTTACCATTTTATCACTTGTGATCTTGCGGACGTTTATTGCCGATTTGTGACTTCATGCAGAAGCAATTGCAAAATCATTCATTAATTTTATCAGTTAATAATAAATGAACCATGATTGCATCCCTCCAGTCTCCCGAAGATTGGATTAGTCAAGATAAGTTGATACTGCTCTACATTACCAATCAGGAAGGTATTGAGTTTTGAAAAAAACAACTTTAAATGCGTCTTGGGAGAGAAAGTATAATTTGATTTGGGTAATGACTTGTTTTAGTGTATGCCAAGCATATTATGGGTGTATGTTCGATATGTCTGGAGGAAAAGTTAAGAAACCTCCGTTGATAGTTGTCTCCCTTGGTAGGGTGTGGCAGACGGTCGGGATTGTTGGTTTCTGTTCAGTACGGGTGGTGAGTTATTACTGTAGGAGGTGTTCCCACTCGTCTCACCATAGACCAGGTTTGAAGCCATATGGATACTGATTGTGAACGATACTTGGTTTTCTCTTTGTGTAATTACTCACTAAGCCCAAATTGTTGATTGATTGCTGATATTTTGACAAAGACGGTTGAATACCGTTTACTGATGAAATATAATTTTGATTTTTTTTTCATTTAAAAAAACTCAGTTGGATTCATTGGAATGTTTTGTCTCCGAATTTACTTTTTAGATACAAGGCTCTGTATTTTTCTGTATTTGTTGATTTTTTCATTGAGTTTTTCATTTTACAGATGTTTTCCCCACCGGTTCCCGGTCAACCAATGAAAAATGGCCCAAATCCACCTCCGGAATCTACTATGTACCCAGGGTACAAAGGAGGTAAGTCTGTTGCGATTGTGATTTAATCTGACATAGAGCGCTGTGTTCCAGCACACAGCAGGTTTTTTGTTGATCCTTGTTACGTGTTTGCCGATTTTCCCGGCTGAAATCTCTTATTTTTCGGAGTAAAACATTTCTGTGGAAGAAACAACACAAAACTACCACTCACATTGTTGAAACGGATATTAGAAAATCTTGGATTTAGACTTGCTGTCTTGTTGGCGGTAAATCTAAACGTTGAGATTTGATGTGATGTCTCGCAGGGACACTGGTTGCTCAAAGTTTGTTGCATTGAATTCTGCTGTCCAGAGTTATGTCCCTTGGGCACGTCTGCATCCTATGGCTGCTTGTTTCAGTTCCTGTACCTTATGTCTGTGTTTTGAGGTTTGTCAGAACTTTATCAGTGTTGTGGGTTTTACCAAAGTTTAAAGTGTCTGAAACAGCGTCGCTTTCCTCCCACATCAAGCTGACACGATGTGATTTGGCTGGAATACTATTCAAGTTGGTTTTGAACTTCACTGCCTCACTCACTCTCTGACCCGTAAAGGTCCGGGTTAGAATGAACCTTCAGTAACCAATGCTAGTTGTAAAAGGCGACTAACGGGATCGGGTGGTCAGGCTCCGCTGGCTTGGTTGGCACATGTCATCGGTTCCCAATTGCGCAGATCGATGCTCATGCTGTTGATCACTGTATTGTCTGGTCCAGACTTGATTATTTACAGACCGCTGCCATATAGCTAGAATATTGCTGAGTGCGGGGTAAAACTAAACTCACTCACTCACTCACTCTGTCTCACTGGCTGTATTGGTAGAACTGACATCAGGTGTGACCTTTTCGTCTCGCTGGTAATATATCTATCCTCAAGATAAGGAGTGACCTCCAGTTGTCTCTCTGGTAGATCTAGATTTGAGGTCGGTTTATATCTCATTGTCTTACCGGTAGGAGATCAGGTGTTTCTCTCATTGTCTCTCTGGTAGGAGATACAGACTTGAGATCATGTTTTCTCTCATTGTCTCTCTGGTAGGAGATACAGACTTGAGATCAGGTGCTGTGTCATTCCCTCAATAGTATTACATCTAGACTTGAAATCAGGCAGTTTCTCTCAAAGTCTCTCTGGTAGGAGATCAAGACTTAACATCAGGTCTTCTATCATTGTCTCTCGGGTAGGAAATTTCAACTTGAGATCAGGCTTCTGTCATTGTCTCACTGATATTACATCTAGACCATAGACCAGGTGCTCCTGTCATTGTCTCTCTGATATTACATCTGGACTTGAGATCGATGTTTTTTCCCATTGTCTTACTCTGGTGTGTATAGATTCGACATCAGGTGTGATACCAAACAGACTCGTTCAGGAATACAAAAAAAAAAGTACTTAGGTGAAAAAAGACTTTAGCTTGTAATCCAACCAAGTCATCATTCCCATTCAACTGTTTTTTATCAAGTCTGTATGAAACAACTCCCTTCCACATTCAAAGTTAATCAGGCGTCACATTGTAGTCATTGTGTAAATTACAAATTAAAACAGATCAGATGTGTGTCTATATCAAATTATACTCCATTCAATCTGTCACCCTCTTTAAACAAGCATTAATTTTTGTTTTGGAGAATCCAGTCCAATGTATCTATTCCATTGTATCTATAGCCATTCACACACAAGACCTGAAAGTTTTGTTGTCAGTTAGTCTTTTCTGTCATCTTGAAACCATTCACATCGGGAGATACGAAATGTTATCACCTACCAGGTCCTTTCATAACTTCAAGAGCCTGTGACTAACTATTTGGTTTGGTTATTTTATAATGCCGTACCCAGCAATATTCCAGCTGTATGTTGGCATCTGTTAATAATTGTGTCTGGACCAGACTGACTATCTATTAAAAAACTTATCATTCACTATAGGTGCTGATAGTTTTTCCAAGTTTTCACTTAACTTGTCTCCATTGGTTCCTGTCTTTTGGGTATTTTTGACAGGGAGTATACATTTGTATAAAACACTTATCAAAGTGTTGTTACAGACTCTGTATCTGTTAGCGTGCTTCTGTGTAAAATGTCTTAAACGTTCATCACCCATGAAGATCCGGGTTAAAATTGATCTTCAGCAACCTGTGTTTGTCGTAAGAGACCACTAACGGGGTGGTCAAACTTGGTGGACACATGTCATTGTATCCCAGATGCTTAGATCAATGCTCATGCTGTTCATCACTGGATTGTCTGGTCCAGACTCGAATATTTAGAGACCACCACCATATAGCTAGACTATTGCTGAGTGCGGCTTAAAAGTACACTCACTCACTCTATATTTTCATGCATATTTAAATGCATGCAGCACACATTTGGGTAATGATGATATTGTCAGTTTATTTTATGAAAATATGCATGCATGCATGGAGCTCTGACCCTCCTGTTAGCAACATGATAAAACGCAATTAGGATGTACAAAATGTTATCAACCAAGAATGTGAAAGATATTCATCCAAGAAACTGTCTGGCCAATGATTCTTACCCATCAACCTGGAGCCGTTATTGGGAATCACTGAGCCGCTGTCCGGAAGGTATTCTATATTATCCCGTGAACATTGTTTATTGGCTGTTGTAGACTGGAACACACTCCTGTTCAACCACCTTTTATGGGGTGTTTCTCAGGTGCTGCCGATGTCGTTGCCATGGATACAAAGAAATTGATGATTTACCTGAAATCTGTGTAAATACATAAATCTCACTGTATTTGTTTAAGGTCTGAGTTATTTGCTGGGCCGAGGTAGAGAATTGAGCGTGACTTACTCTCAATTGCTTCTTTTGGATTAGCTGATAAAGATCCTGTCTTGCGTTTCTCGATTTTATTGCACCCTTTTCAAGTTCATATATGCAAATAAATATATGTTTAACGATATCAGGTGATTAGCCTGAGATTTCCGTTCGATTAAGACCAGTTAAAAATATTTCTTCTGAACTGCTTGATGTTGTTGATGGCAAGGATGTGAAACATATTTATTGAGGTTGGTAATGATTTTCCTGATCTGTGTGTGCCAGTGTTCAATCTATAGAATACGGCAGGTATGGTTCCTCCTCGGCCACACATGATGCAGAGGATACCACTCAAAACAAGTTAAGGACTATCTGGAACTGAAGCTAAAAGAGGCCAAATTAAAAAAAATATTGTGGTTCCAATTACAGCTCTTTAAAATTTAGGGTAGGTAGGTAGGAATATATTTGTTTACATTTTTAGAAGTAAAGTACAAACTAATAGCACATTTATCAATGTGTAATTGTTTATTTAATCAAGCTTGTTGCCATCATGTCAACTTTCTCTATCAGAATGACCGATGTTCGTCGGTGCTGAGAAAAAACAATGGTATCTGAACGCTTATTTTATTTATACCGCTTGAAAAAAAAGGGTCGGCACCAGAATTCAAGGGTCGGTCGGGTAATTGGAACCCCAATATCATTTTTTTAGGCCAGATTTGTATCTGTAGGTCACTGTTACTTGTTTCAGATGTGAGGTCAAATAGAGAGTATTGTGTAGATCGATGCTCATGCTGTTGATCACCGGATTGTCTGGTCCAGACTCGATTATTTACAGACCACCGCTATATAGTTGGAATATTGCTGAGTGAGGCATAAAACCGAAGTCACTCACTCCCTCTCTCACTCAAACAGATAGTAGGGTTGTCTAGTGGTTCAGATCATCATGACGAAGGCCTGGGTTTGATTCCCCACATGGATACTTTCTCTCAATCTGAATTTTAAACTCGGAGGCTGACAATTCCTATTTTACATTGCACATGCTCACATCTCACAACTAAGAAACGGGCTTCACACATTGTTACTATGCGGGGAATCGAACCCATGTCTTCTGTGTGACGATTGAGCACTTTAACCATAAGGCTACCCCACCGCCCCTGTACACGAGTGAGTGAGTGAGTGTGGTTTTACTCTGCTATTATCAATAATCTATCACAGTGGAGGACAAAAGAAATGGGCTTCATACATTGTTACTATGTTGGGAATCGAACACAGGTCTTTAGTTTGACGAGCGAACCTTTTTACCACTTGGCTACCTCACCGCCTCTCATACATACGGGGCGGTGGGGTAGCCTAGTGGTTAAAGCGTTGGCTCGTCACGCCGAAGATCCGGGTTCGATTCCATGGGCACAATGTGTTAAGCCCATTTCTGGTGTCCCCCGCCATGATATTGCTAGAATATTGCTAAAACTCAGTCAGTCAGTCTCATACATACAAAGCACAACGCATGCATGTTGTTTATATAAGTGCAATAATTGTGAATGCCACTTAAAACTCATTTTCACCAGTGTGCAAATAGTTTCCAAACTTTGCTTGCCAGTCGGGCTAGCTATGCGGGAATGTTACTAGCCCACAAAATAATTCACTAGCCCGAAATTTGAATGTAGACACAGGTTTCATCGTTAAGCTGCTAATATGATGAACATTTTTATCAGGCCATAATCTTGCATGATTTAAAAGTGTATTATAAATTAATAAGTTGGAGAAAGTGATATATTTACAAAATGACCCCATGAAAAGTCACGAGTCAGTTGGGCCAGTGACTGTGGACTCGATTATTTACAGACCGCCGCCATATAGGTGGAATATTGCTGAGTGCGGCGTAAAACTAAACTCACTCACTCACTGTTCTCTAAATGACATGTAGACAATATCCACAATGAAAAATAATAACATTCAGAATTAATCAATTGATAACGCTCTTAATGCTTCCTATTTGATTGGTTAATGTCATTTTGTGAATTCTTTTAGAAATGGTGAACATTCTTAATGAATATTTAATGTCGGCATCAATTGTGATGGTATAATCAATATTAGTCATCTGACACTGTGATCTGTGATGGAGGGATGGTTGTTGATGAAGCTGCACTGGCTTGTTAAAGAAGCGGGAATTATCAGGTCAAACAATATTAATATTTAATGATCAATTTTGTCATTAATTGTTCCTGCAGGGGGTGTTTGTGGAAAGGGTGACAA